AAACCCAGACTATGTCAGACAGCACAGCTTGATCCCATTGCAGACTGCTGGGAAGTAATGAGCAAGCTGCCTGGCAAGAGTGGCAAAAGCTCCTTGCTGTTTTTGGAAATTTTGCCCATGTTGTTGACAGTGAGAGCTTCTCCACCAATGCCCAGGAAGCACTCTGGAGTGCCAATCACTGGTTCATTAGCCTGCAGTTAAGACGGTTTTTTTCCTCTCAGTCTTTTGCAGGTCTACACTGATGGCTGCCTGAAATATGGATCCTTACCAGGTATTGTAAGTAACTTCCATGGACATTGATAAAGCAAGGCTCCATATGGGTTAGTCTTCTCTCACTTGATGGAAGTCGGTTGGCAAACTGTCAATAGAAAGGCAAAGTGGTGATAAGGATACCAAGCATATTGCTTTTTGCATGCCCTGCACCTTTTCCACACTCCTCTGATTTGCTAGGTACTCCAGAAAATGGAGATCTACGTTCTATCACCTTTTCCAAAATCTTTCCCCCAGGGAGGATATCAGCAACTGGCTGATTGTTTTCGAGATTTTATGGATCCAAAGAGGATTTCATAAGGACTAGCAGTACAACTGCCTCTTTCAAGACAGATGGAACCACCCAGCTCTTGAAGGGGCATGAATTCCCTTTTGGACCCTCTAATAACTTCCACCACCCTTGGTCAGCTGTCACTGGTCCAGCTGGGCAAGGACTGGGGCTACAGGAATGTTAGCACTCGTAGCCCTCTAAGCACTGTGTCCATTTCCTCCTCAGGCCACATCAACCAAAACTGGTGCCATAATCAGACTAGATGTTACTCTGGACACCTCCATAGAAGCTGTATGAAGATTTGGGTCAGGGGAGTGACAGGTTCAAGGCCAAATAGAGGAACTGTATCCTCAAAATGCCTTGCAAATTTCTCATGGCAGACCTCTGAGAGTTGATACTAGTTCAGTTTGGCCAGTTGTGGAAAAGTTCTGCTGGGCAGCTACTCAAGGATGTGCGGTGGAGAAATACAAACTGCCTTGCCACTGCCACCACCATAAGAAGACACAATAATGTACTCTCACTTGTGTCTGACACTCCTGTCATGGTCAGATCACTTCCTCGTGAGGTTTGAACTCGAGAGCAGCCTTTCTCTCTGCAAGAGTGCGGACCCGATTGTGTTGGTCCGCCCACGGAGCCGGATGGATTCCTGAACGCTCTGGGGGAATTCCTGGTTGATAAGGCTGGCGCTACCCTTGGTCAAACTGTGGAATGGGGAAATGACCAGGGCTATTGACACGATCGCTCCTAAGCATCCTCTCCCGCCTGGCAGAGCCCGTTCATCCCCCTGGTATACACCCGAGTTACGGGCGATGAAGCGGGTTGGGAGACGTCTAGAGCGTAGGTGGAGGAAATCATGGGATGAATCTGACCAAACACACTTAAGAGTCCATTATCGGGCCTATGCTGTGGCGGTGAGGGTGGCGAAGAAGAAATTCTTCTCTGCTTCCATTGCCTCCTCACAATGCTGTCCGGCGGAGCTCTTTCAGGTGGTACAGGGGCTGGTTCATCTGGGCCCAAAAAAAGATCCCGTGCCACCCTCGACAGCCCACTGTGACGACTTTGCCAAGCATTTCAAGGAGAAAATCGCTCAGATTCGTCATGAGCTGGACTCCACTAGTGACTCAGAACCTTCAGAGGAGGTGCCAATGTTGCCATCTGGTCCACAGTTGATGGATGAATTTCAGTTATTGCAGCTTGATGATGTGGACAAGGTGCTTGGACAAGTATGTCCTACCACCTGCTTACTGGACCCTTGCCCATCTTGGCTATTCAAGAAAGTCAAGGACGGGATAGGGACCTGGATCCTGGAGGTTGTCAACGCTTCTCTAAGGGATGGCCGGGTACCTGCCCCTTTAAAGGAGGCGGTAGTCCGGCCAGTCCTAAAGAAGGCAGATCCAGAGGTGGCCGCCAATTATAGACCGGTGGCCAACATTCTGTTCCTGGGCAAGGTGCTAGAGCAGGTGGTGGCGGGACAAATCCAGGCACTCTTGGATGAAACTGATTATCTGGACCCATTTCAGTCCAGCTTCAGCCCCGGGTATGGTACTGAATCTGCCTTGGTTGCCCTGTATGATGACCTGTGCAGGGAGAGAGACGGGGGGAGTGTGTCCCTGTTGGTTTTCCTGGACCTCTCAGTGGCTTTCGATACCATCGACCATGGTATCCTTCTGGATAGGCTAGAGGGATTGGGAGTTGGGGGCACTGCTTTGCAGTGGTTCTGCTCCTATCTCAATGACTGATTCCAGAAGGTGGTGCTGGGGGACTATGGCTCTGCGCCATGGCAGTTATGCCATGGAGTTCCGCAGGGGTCCATTTTGTCCCCCTTGCTATTCAACATCTACATGAAACCGCTGGGAGAGGTCATCCGGAGGTGTGGGCTGCGGAATCATCAGTACTCTGATGATACCCAGCTCTACCTCTCGTTTTCAACCAATCCAGGTGAGGCAGTGGCTGTACTGAACCGGTGCCTGGCCGAGCACCGGCCGAAGCTCAATCCAGACAAGACGGAGGTCCTGTTGGTGGGTGGTTCGGGACTCGGGACCTGGACTTTGTCCTGAATGGGGTTGCACTCCCTCTTAGGGACAAGGTTCGCAGCTTGGGAGTGCTCCTCGACCCTGAGCTGTCATTAGAAGCTCAGGTGATGGCGGTGGCGAGGAGCGCTTTCCTTCAGCTTCGGCTGATCCATCAGCTGCGTCCCTACCTGGAGAATGATTGCCTGGTGACAGTGACACTGTCACTGGTAACTTCCCGATTAGACTTCTGTAACGCGCTCTATGTGGGGCTACCCTTGAAGACAGTCCAGATACTTCAATTGGTGCAAAAAAGAGCTGCCAGGTTGCTGAAGGGGACTGGGCGTTGTTCTCATATAACCCCAGTTCTCCATCAGCTTCACTGGCTCCCTATTGAAGTCCGGGCCCAATCCAAGGTGTTGGTTATCACCTATAAAGCCCTCAACGGCTTGGGACCTGGTTATCTAAAGGAACGCTTGCATCCGTATATGCCCGACCGCCCCTTGAGATCAGCAGCAGAGGCCCTTCTCCGGGAACCCTCCGTGAAAGATATTCGGAGGGTGAGTACCCGGAGGAGGGCCTTCTCTGTGGTGGTGCCCCACCTATGGAATGCGCTCCCCAGAGAGGTCTGCCTGGCACCGTCGTTATTTGTTTTTCGGCGCCAGGTCAAGACCTTTTTATTTCAAAGTTATTTTGTTAATTTATGAATTGTATTTATTGGGTTTTTATGTACATGCCGAGATGTTTCTGGTTTTTTAACTCTAATTATATAACTGTTTATTTATGTTTATTTATTAATGTTGTAAGCCACCCCGAGGCTTTTTGCGAATCAGGTGGCATAAAAATGGTTTAAATAAATAATAAATAAATATCCAATGTGAGATTTACTCCACCTGTATTCTAATAATTGTCCAGCCTGTTTCATTGTCCAGTTTCCTATAAGCCAGGTAACCGTATGGACTCAGCAGAACCAGAGAGGAAATGCAGGGGTATTTATTGCAGTAACGTTTTCCATCTCACATGCTCCATAATGAGACCAGAACTTCAAAGGATGTTTCAACCAGGTCAACCAGAAACTTCCCAAGAGCATTCAGGAATCTTTTGGATTCCATAAGTCTATGGGAGCAGACTGTCTTAATCCATACACCAGTCCCATGGAAGGGAATGTCCACTGATAATCAAACCTCACCAACAGAAAAACCAACATGATCCATAAAGTTAGGGCATAATCCAATGGGTTGCACCCTTGATGCTGATAAGCTCTCTGAATGAGCATCATGTGCAAACTGGGAGAAGCAGCAGAGGCAAGTGCAGACTCCCAGATCTGAGGCTAGCGTTCTGTCCCTGACCTTGGATTTGGAAATCTGAATTATCCAACCCCCACCCCCTGCAAATCAGACATTGTTTAGGAGCGACAGAAGTTCTCTCTTAGGCCTTTCAAATCCTCCGGATGCTTACTTAGTTAATCCTGAAGTCGTATTTCCAGACTTCTTCAAGAGTATCTATCTAGAATTGTAAATGTCATGAATTACTACATCTTACTAACGACTGGCACTACATTCACACATATCAGTGCACAACTATATGCTACCTCCAGTATCAGAGGCACCAGGCCTGTGCGCACCAGTTGCTGTAGAACATGGGCAGAAGGGGGCTATTGTACTCATATCCAGCTTCTCAGATTCTGCAGGCAGCCCTTGGGATTCTGTGCTGGCCAACGTGCGAACAGGGTGCTAGAACAGATGGATCCTTGGCCTGATCCAGTCCAGATGAACTGAACAGTGTCATTCTGCTCCCACCTCTGCCAAGCCCGATGGGTTGAACATAGTTGAGAGAGAAGAAAAGGCCGGATAGGACGTGTCCCTTAGCAATGTTTCCCTCCTTTCTTGGCTGTAGCTTCATACTTTTTTATTTATTTCATTAACTGAAAATATAATACGCTCCAAAGCAGTTTACAGCCGAAAGCATTAAGACAACAAAAACGGTTTGGATCCAGTGCTATTAAACCTTCAAAGAATAGAAGCCCTCCTCGCCCCTTTGCAAGCAATGGGATTCAAATTCGTTATCACGATTCCTTGCTTTTGCAATAAGGACAGGGGTACCAATCAGCGAAAATAAAAAACTTAAGTCCCACTGGTTTTAATGGGCTTGCCTTCTCTAAGTATGAGCGAAGCTGCATGCAACCGAAAATATTCAAGAAAGAAGGTACATCAGGAGAAAAAGTTTTAAAGCGGGCTCTTTACGATGGACACACGTCTCCCTTCCTAAGGAGGTACCGAGCTCACCTCCACCTCCACCTCCTTCCTCGGCCCCCTCCGGCGAGCGGCCTCCCCCCTTGCCGCCGCCTCCAGAGTCTTCCTCCTCTTCCCCCCGCCCGCCCCTGCCACATCCTCCGCCGCCGCCACTGCTGGCGTCAGCTGAGCGAGCCGCGCCGCCATATTGGAGGGGGAGCCGCCGCCGCCGCCGTCGTCGCTGGTGCCGCAGGGGGAGCCGGCCCGGCCCGGCCCATCTCCGTTCCCCCTCCCTTCCCTGAGCGTCTGCCTGGCTGGCTGGCCTGCCTGCCTGAGCAGCGGCGCGGAGAGAGAGAGGAGGGAGGCCGCGGCCTGTTTGGCGGTCTCTGCCAGCCCACCCAGCGGGGCCCAGGTGGGGTCTGCGGCTCCGTCCCATCCCGTCGCCCGCCATGACTTCCCTGACCCAGCGAAGCTCAGGCCTGGTGCAGCGCCGCACCGAGGCCTCTCGCAGTGCCGCCGCGGCCGACAAAGAGAGGGCGGCCGGCGGTGGCGGCGGCGGCGGCGGCGGGGCCGAGGAAGAAGGCCGGCGGGACGAGCAGGCCGAAGACGAGAAGGGCGACTCCAAGGAAACGCGCCTCACGCTCATGGAAGAAGTGCTGCTGCTGGGCCTCAAGGACCGAGAGGTGCGGAGCTGTCCCGTGAAGGGAGGCTGGCCCTCCGTCTGTGTGTGTGTGTTGCGGGTGGGGAGAAGCCCGAAAGGTCTGTGATGGCGGTGCCCTTGTGTGTAAGGGCCTTTGGGGAAGACGGGAGTGCTGGAAGAGAGTGAGTGCGGCTTTGCGAAGCGGTTTGTGAGGTCAAAGTGAGGGGTGATGGTGGCGGAGGGGATGTCAGTTGTTGTTCTGTTTCATTTGTATAGCGCCCTGTAGCCGAGGCGCTCTGTTTACAACAGTTGAAGAAGGCCTTGTTTAGGGGATTTAGTGTGAGTGTGTGAGCCAGAAGAGGTAGAAGACAAGCCTGGGTAAAAGGCAACAAGACTTAGATTTGAGGATGCAGTGGGAATACTGTGTAAATGAGGGGTGGTGAGGGATAGGTAGTGGTTGTGGGGTAAAGCAAGGAGGTTTGGCACAGCTCCCTTGACTAACCAAGGTCTTTAGGAAATGCAATAGTATATTCTTGCCCTCTCTGCCCTGGTGTTCAGTCTGCAAAGGGTACCTCCTACCAAGTGCTATCTTAAAGTTACAGTCCTTAACAATGAATCAGTTAATAGGAAAAAAAAGAAAAGAAAAAGAAACAAAAGAAGTTCCCAGCGCCCTAGTCTGAGTTTGGGGATGAGGAGAAACATAATTTGAAATTAGCCGGCATAGGATTTGAACAAGGCATCAGCCCCATTCTGGGATGCTTGTCTTCCAGTTTGTATGTCAACACACTCAGAGAATGCTTGTATCCGTTTGTTAACATGGTTATATTAGAACCTTCTTCAATTAGATATAACTGAAAAAGAAAAAAAATCAGTAATGATTGTAAAAGAAATGCAGAGAAGGTCATTTTGTTAGCAGTACTTTTGAGAGGGAGATTCAGGCTGGCGTTTGACCAGCAGACATGATATAACAAGAGAACCTGTAAAGTTACAGGAGTATCTCTCTTTAGTTGTTTGATTAGTATAAAGTTTCCTAAGAGTAGGAATCCATGAAGTTGTATTTTTCTAGGCTAGGCACACTGTACACTGTCTGCTTGCTCGGTTTTGGTCTGGTAAAGTGTTTTGTATGCCAGTGCAGCAGTGTCATCAAAGTGGATTCACGACAGATTATTATAAATTTCGGATAGCCTCACAGTTGCAACTTTGGTTTATCTGCTCAACTCTTCTTTACATATCCTATGGGACTCTTGGTTATGGGATAGAAGTTGGCAGACGAAATTGTTCTGCATTAATGTAATTGGAATGCCTAACTCAAAGAGCTAAAGGGTCTAAAACACATGAAAAATCTTTCATCTTAGAAACGCCAAAAATATTAAAATATGCGTTTTCTCATTGGATATGAATACACACATGATTACTTTTATAACTTTTTAAATGGAAAAGCTTTGAAGATGCTTATCTGGGTAAGTGGATTGATAGATTTGAGATTGTTAATTGTGCCAGCTGTAATGTGAGGATATACATCTCCCTTACAATCTGCTCAGTCACTGAGGTAATTGGAGGACAGTCTTTTGGTGGTTCCACCTGGACCGATGGCCCACTTAGAGTCCACCCAGAGAAGATCTGCCAGTGTAGCAGATCCATTTCTTTGGAACTCCATGCCTCTGGAGGTTAGGCAGGTATTAACATATTGTTTTTAACACCTCCTGACAATATTTCAGGAAGCTCTGGCTGACCAGCCACAGTTTTAATGATTCTGTTCTAACATACTGTTTTATTTTTATTTGTTCTGTCTATTTTTCACTGCTTTGGAATCTATTTAGATGTGAAAAGGTATATAAATGTTTAAATACATAGCTGGGCAATGAAAAAGGTTATAAACTGTTTAACAGGTTGTCAGGAGCTTGTTCAAAATTGAATGAATTAATAAAGTAGAAGAGCTTTAGTTTATATGATACTTAAAACTGGTTTAAAATGGAATGCTTTAATATAATGTTCATGTAAAAATTATATGCATGGAATAGAATTAATCCTGCTTTTCTAGTGATAGGTTCATTTATATGCATAGGCTTAAGTCATGTGAAGAATGGCAAAATTACCACCAACTTTTGTTAATGTAGTAGCAGTGACAGAAAAGGCATATTCTTACCTTAAATACACAGGAAGCATACAAAAATGTGTGTGCACGTGTGTTGGGGGGTGTTAATTGTTAACAGCAAAAATAACAGGGATTTTTTTGGCAGTTTAAAGACTAACAATTGGTATTATGGTGTATGCTTTAGATGTCCATCACATCTTGCTCTCATAAGATCCTATCTTTTATAGATTATACTGAATTATTATACTTTAACATTATACTTCTTTATGTGATGGCTATAATTGCACATCACTTTAAGCCAGGAAGCCTAGTTTAATAACATATAATGTGAACTATAACTGTGCTCCTGCACTCAGCCCATTTCCTTCCCCTTTGTGAAAGCAGGTAAACATTCGAGGAATGAATGGCTTTGTTGCAATGTTCAAACGCAGGGAGTAAAGAAAGAGCAAACAGCTTCTGGGCACCAGCAAATATACTGTATGCATCAACACATAACTCATTCCCATTGTGACTTAAATCAGAATATTTGGCTTAAGCTGATGTGTGAACGTGGCCACTGTGTTCTCACTAACCCTTAGCTTCTTCATACCTGTTGTAACTGGGGAGAGCTACATGAGATATATCAGTACTTGGTGCGTGCTACCCTCAGAAGGTAGTTAATTCAGTTCTCTGGCAAAAATGATGAGTCCCTCCTGTGGGTTGGCAGAAACAGGACAGGGTATGTCTTCCAAACTTTTTGTCCTAAACAGAAAAACATTCCCCACTCCTAGCCAAAATAACAGGTAAGTAGCCCAACACCAGGTGGATAAAGGTAAGTCTGCAGCTTGGGCAAACAACAAAACCTGTATGTCCTGCCATGTCACCTTGGAGTGAACATGATAAAATTCTTCCAATTCATATGAGCAAAATTGCTTCCAAGTCAGTTGTATTTTCAGTAGAGGGTTAATGTTCCCCAAATTCTACCAATTTCATTGATAGGCCTAAAATATTGATGTCTGTTAGATGGAACATGATTTTTATCACCTGTGAAGAACTGTGGTTCCACTGTAAGTCAAGTTGCAGCTCTTTGCAAGCAAGATGTCCTCATTGCATTGGAAGTGAATTTGTAGTTTAGGCAAAACATAGATATTGTATTCATTGCAGCATATTTTAAAATATGCACAGCAAAGCCTATATAATAATTCTTTGCAGTTGCTCAAATATGAGTACTTTTGCTTTTAACCAGATATCTGTTTACTATAGAAACTTAGAAAAACTAAAAACAAAAGGCTTACTGTCAGGCTAAACAAATATTTATTTACAATTTTATCCTGTTTCTAAGTCAGAAATTGGCTTCCAAAGCAGCTTGCAGCCATAAAAATGCAGCTGGAGGGAGGTTTTTTTGTTGAGGGATGATGGAAGAGTGACTAGTATTAGCCTTCCTTCTCTCTGATAAATGTCATTAGTGCATACTATATGCAAGTTGCTGAATATACAAGCAAACATAGTAGTGAAGGACTACACTGTTTCTGATTGAGCTGTGTATGATTTTAATTTACTTCTTGAGATATTTTTAGAAATGTAGTATAAACAATCTTTATCAAAATGGATTAGTTTGCAGACATACATTTCAATGTGCTCATTTTTATATTTAAATAAAAAGGCTGCTTATATGTAGTTTACAATAACAACTGGGGTAAAAAGTTTAAAACTGCAAAAATTAAAAATGGAAGTGTACAGAGGGCTCATCTGTAGCACTTTATGAATCTTCTGCTGTCAGAAGCATTTAAATGCAATGGACCTCCTTTGGGGTACTGTTCAACTAAGTAAGAGATACCCTAGAAAAGGTGACTTCTTGGAAAAGAAAGCCTCACAAGTATTACTACTTCCAGTGCATTTATATCCTGCCTTTTTTTTCCCTGTTGTGAGAAACTCAGGGCAGCTTATATAGCTCCAATTTATTCTCACCACAACAATCCTGTGTAGTAGGTTGTCTTGAGAGCTTATAACTGGTTCAAAGAGTCCCAGTAAGCTTCTCCAGAATATGGCAGATAACATTTGAATAGCATAGCTGATTGGCGGGCAATCCTAGTAACAAGCCCATTTTCTCGAATTGTGGTTTCCAATCCTCACTTACATCAACAAAGGAGTAACCTAATTTAACCTCCCAGTATTACAGATCTCTTTCTGGAGTGGCCTACTTATCTGATAGTTGATATTTATAATTCCATGCATGTTACAAAACAAGGTACCTATCATGGACTGTTGTGAAGGAAATAGAGATTACTTTCTAGTGGCTGTTGCTTATTGATATTTGCTATTTAAAAATTTAAAAAATCTAAAATGTTAAAAATGATATGTATATATAAAAGAGACTCTTGCATAAATGCCTGGTCATAGGATTGCTGCACAAAGTAGAGCCTATGTGCTAAAATAAGACTATGTAGATTCAGTTTTGTTGTTTGAGTTCCACTGTTGAAGTAATGCTTTCAATGTTTTGTTGGTATTTGTCTAGTTAGTATGAAGAAAGAATTGTTTTGTATAAAAAAGTAACATAACTTTGGTAAGGAAGAAAAAATAATGTCCCAAGGATAGCAGAGGGAGGTGCTAGATAGTCCTAAGAAAGTTATTTTTATAGTTTCCAGTTATGACCATGTTGACTTCTCCTAGAACAACATTATCTTAAAATAAAAATAATTACTCTGTGTAGATGCTAGATGCCATAGCATCCTCAGACACCGATGGTTATAGTTTATTAAAGCCTTCAGAAGATCAGATAATGGTATCTTGGTGTCTTGTTGCTTGCTAAGTAAATAAGATGGAGAGGTGATGCCCTAAGAAATGGTAAACTTATTAGAACATAATTAATTTCTGACAAATAAGTACTATTTCCATCCACTTTTTCTGAGTGTTCAAAGCATTTCACAAGCATCATTAGTAGATAAGCCATTGCTATTATAGTGGTACCT